GACAAAAGGGAAAGACCTGATTTACCGCAGGGATGGTCCAGAAGATGGCTTGCGGCAACCATAAGGTGGTCAAGCTAGAGAGTGAGCCAGGCAGGATCCAGGGAAGCAAGCCCCATTTAGGCAGCCTTCACCCTCCCTGTGGGCATACTGCCCAAGGAATCTTCAGGCACATGGTTCCATAAGGTGGGCGTACCGCAGCCCTGGACTTGTAAAGCGTTCTGTGGCTAACTTACATGTTATACAAAGTGTCTAGGAGAGCACCTCAGCAGAGCCGATGCCTACAGGTCACACCACAGACCAGCCCAACTTCTTCCTTTTTATAACTGCTTTATAAGTGCTTTATAAAGAAAAAAAAAAACCCTTAACCCTACCAGAAAACTGATAACTTCCTGTGCTCTCTTCTCAGCTGACTGCTATCAGTAAGAATAGCTCCCAATGGTTTCCAAGGACTACAAAACATTGCTCTGTCTTATAATGATGTAGAGGTTAGAGGAAGGAATAATGACACCGGAGGGGGGAACACAGGCATCTGACACTACTGGAAGTGTTGAATGCTGAAGGGGCTTACAGAGGCTGCAGGGTTTGTACAGAAGGAGACAGGAGATATGGCCTGCCCAAGAAGTGAGTGCCTTCTACTACAGGTAGCTGCTAGTTTTATATCTTTAGAGATCTGAAAAACTCTCTTTAATGCAGGGGATGTTATTAGTGAAACATTTAGGTAGCTACAATATGCACACTTAAAAGGATTTTCAAAAACAATGTTCCAAAATGTGCTTCCACCTAATCACCACGTGAAAAATAATATTGACTGCACTCACCAGATGGAGGTGAGTAATAAGCCTCATAGGATATAAGGGATCCTATAGCCCCTCAGGAGGAACTCAAATCACCTTCTTCACCCTGCTTAGATACAGCAATCGACTCCACTCTACTTCTCCATGGAATCCTCAATAATGTGCAAGGAAAGAAAGGCTACATAGTGTAATACTGCCACTCAATACCATATTAAATCCATAGAATAAGGACACTCACGTTTCAATAAAATAACAGGCCTTGTTTAATAGCCTCAAAGGCTTCAAAGGAACAAGTTTCCAAATTGTAAATAAGGGATCTCACGCTTTAAGGATCACTGTAGAGGATGACCAGCTTTCCACCTCAAAAATGGCTGCTTGAACCGCAAAAGTCGGCGTGCGTTCCAAATACCGGAAGTGACGTAGGCCAAGAAGACGGCAGACCGGAAGTGCGTCAACTTCCGGTCTGCCGTCTTCTTGGCCTACGTCACTTCCGGTATTTGGAACGCACGCCGACTTTTGCGGTTCAAGCAGCCATTTTTGAGGTGGAAAGCTGGTCATCCTCTACAGTGATCCTTAAAGCGTGAGATCCCTATATTTACAATTTGGAAACTTGTTCCTTTGAAGCCTTTGAGGCTATTAAACAAGGCCTGTTATTTTATTGAAACATGTGAGTGTCCTTATTCTATGGATTTATATGGTATTGAGTGGCAGTATTACACTATGTAGCCTTTCTTTCCTTGCACATTATTGAGGATTCCATGGAGAAGTAGAGTGGAGTCGATTGCTGTATCTAAGCAGGGTGAAGAAGGTGATTTTGAGTTCCTCCTGAGGGGCTATAGGATCCCTTATATCCTATGAGGCTTATTACTCACCTCCATCTGGTGAGTGCGGTCAATATTATTTTTCACGTGGTGATTAGGTGGAAGCACATTTTGGAACATTGTTTTGAAAATCCTTTTGGGAAAAAAGGGACTTATGTTTGAAATATTATATATATATTTTTGCACGGACATTTATTTATTTGTGATTATTTTTATTTATTTAATTTTTGCGCTGTTTTTTGTGTTATTTATTATTGGTGGTTTTCACTGGTGCACAGCTGCATAATTGTATACTTTCTTTGATTGGCGCTGGGATTTTTTTAGTTTGTTTACAATATGCACACTAACTTTCAGTGCTCAAACCTACCAGCACTAGACTACTGAAAAAAAAAAAAAATATACGGCAGGAGCTACCCATGGGAAGGCATACATACAATTTAACAGCGTTATACAGGTTAACAAGATATTATTTGTTGATCTCCATTTTAAACTAAGATCAGTCAGTCATTAGGGAAGAGCAAATTGATTGCCACAAAGGCAGTTTCAAAAGACAAATAAAACAGCTAAGAAAAATTGAAGGCTGTCTTTGAGGAAAGAGCTCAGCATTTCTTGCCGATGACCTCACATAAAACTGCGATGCTTTGTGTTTGAGCCCATTAAAAAAAACCTGTATCGCTCAGTTCATGGTAAGCTGGGTAACATATGTTTGTCACTCTTGATGACTTTATTATTGGATATTAAGAAGGCTGGAATGACAGGTTTTATTGTTAACTGCATCTTTTATAAATTCCCCTAGGTCTCTCGTTTTAACCGAACCCATTAAATAAGCTTTTAGTCCAAGATCATATGCTGGCTTTCTATTCTCCCCCATCAATACAAGTTTAACGCCACTATGAAGAACTATGAGGTTGTGAAAATAGGCTGAACTAGGGCCTATCACATAGACAGTATCTTTAGAGGATTTAGAAGGAATGGCTCTAAACTGGGTGCTACGGGGTAACACAGACTGAGAAAAAAGTCAAATCCACTGCCAATTTCATGATTAACTTAAAAAAAACCAAAAAAAAAATAAAAAATAATAATGTCTCGCTACACATTCAAGTGTATGACAACAAGCAAAACAATTGTTTGTACTGTACACTATACCCTTTACGCTAAGGAATTGTATATTTATCTAACAATAACTAATGCAGTTTAAGGAGTGGAGATATACTGTGTTTTCCTAAAGTACTCAAATTCTAGCAGTAAACAGTATTAAAGTAGAACTATAGGAAAAACATTTTTTCCCCCATTTTGGATAGAGCAAGGGAGAATTATAACCCCTTTAAGATTTTTTTGCCATCTGTGTCCCATTTGGGAGATCTCCCTTCACTTCCTGTCCTATAGCCAAACAGGATGTGAGAGGAAATCCCTGCAAACTAAGAGAATTCCTTGGGGACAACCAGGTCACTAGAACCAGTGTCCCCATTGGAAGATTTCCCCTCTATCACTTTTCTGGGGACAAATGCAAAATTAGGTATTTTATTTATTTATTTTACTTTCACATTCAATGATAATGGTAAACTTGACAAAAAAAAAAAAAAAAGAGAGGGTGAATCTCCCTAACGGGGGCACAGACAGCAATAAAACCTGACAGGCATTCTAATCCCTCTGCACTCCATCAAAAACTAAAAAAAGTTTTGCCTTTAGGTATACTTTACCATATTGGCTTATCTTATTTTCTTCCTTTAGTATGCATCACATCTTCCTGTGTGCTAATTGTGATCCTCACTTTAGGCAACTTTCTTTATTCACTGTAATCGTAATATCTGTAGTTAGTGTTGAAAAAAATCCTGCCTTTAGTTTTTTGTTTTTTTTTTTTTTTTGGTTTTTTTTTTTTTTTTAAGTAAAATCACAAGCATATTACACTCCCTTGCTCTGTACAGTGGTATTGCAGAGCAGCCCCAATCCTTCTCAGTTCCCTGATGGCAATCCTGGCTTTTCTATGTGTATCCCTATTCCAAGCTGTTTGCTAGGGGACACGCGATGAATGCCTGCTCGCTCCCAACCTGTGTGTGTGTCTATGGAGCCACACTCCATAGACACACACACACACACACACACACACACACACACACACACAGCGGTACTTGGCCCCACCATCCCCCACTTCCTCTTCACCGCATTGATCGACAGCAGCAAGAGCCAATGGCTCCTGCTGCTGTTTGAGTCCTTGTGTGAAGAGGAAGCAAGGGGAGAAGAGATGCAGCCGTGTAAAGCACTGATCTCTCCTCCCCTCTCTTCCTCTTCACACAGGGAAACTAAAAACCTTTTTTACTTGACAGGTACCCACTCCCACTTCTGCTCAGATCACCGCGACAATCCAAGTGGAAGTTCAGCCCCCCCCACCCTCCTTTCTCCCACAGCCTCTTGGGACATGTCACAAGTCCCAGGAGACTGCAGAACCATTCACGGGGCACAAAAGAGTTACAGCCGGCTGCCCACAGGGAGGATGTTGGTGCCTGGACCCGAAGACCGCAAAGAACCAGGTCAGGCGAGGACACTGCCGGATCCTAGGACAAATACTGCAGCTGCAGTATTTGTAGCTGCTGACTTTTAAATTTTTGTTTACAGGGTGAAAAGCCTCTAAGTAAAAATGATTTAGAAACCCTTTTACTGCCACCAGGAGCCGACCTGTAAGGACATCCTAATTCCACCAGTCTGTCAGAGTGGTCACATAATCAGGAGCCTATCCTACCAGTTTCTGATTGTAACCAGTGACTAGGAGCCGTCAGTGAAAGCTGGGTCACAGTGCTGGGAGTACACTCATTCAGAAACAGAAGTGTGATGCCAGCTGTATGCATACATGTGGCAGAAGGCATTAAAGCCCACCACTGTGCTGCCACATATATGTGTATGGCTGGCAGGAAGGAATTAAATTGCCTACACTAATTCTCTTTTTTTCGAGGTTTTCTCTTTATTTTGACCTGGCAATTCTGCCAGTAACAAACTTCCTGTCCTAGGTTAACAATGCTCATTCAGTGTACTCTAGCTAAGCAGGAGTACAATACAGTGACATCTTCCTATGCCATTTCTAAGCGGCTGTGACATTCCCCGCCTTACAGCTGTAGGTATACAAGTCCCTTGTACACATGTAGCTGCAGGGCGAGGGATGCCTTGGCTGCCTCTAATTGGCCTGGTACAGATGATAGCTTGCTGGCGGGATCGCTCAGATGGGTTTGTACCAGGATCCAAACACGACTGTAGGAATCCCTATTTATGTATTTTTAGTAAAGAGTAGAAAAGTACAGGTTGTCAGACTTTGCTTTACTTTACCCTACTTTTATGAATAAAGCAAAAAAAATGCTATTACCACACACTGTATATGTAAACTTACAGGACCTACCATATTTTCCAAGGACGTCGCTCATGCTTAGGTTCTCTTAAACGTTTCACTGAAAAATAAAACAAACACAATAAGGGTACTGGAGACTTTACCAAAAATGCTTTTTGCAAACAAATATTTGATCTGCTTTGGTTTACAGGAGGGTGCTAAAGGTAAACAGTCTAATAATGTATCAACTGTTCTAGGCACATAAATGGATATCAGTGATTAAAATAACTTATAGGGCACACGCAACTTTGAGAAGTTGTATGAAATGTTAAGACTGTAGGAACAACTGGGTACTCATTTAAATAATTATACAGTATGTTGTGGCACTGTAGTGCTTTCACTGGCTTTGACAACTCCGTAAAAAGAGGTAGGCATTTTCGGACTACATTTATGGAATGTTCTACAAACACTTTGTATGCGGAAAGTCATGTAGCTTCATCTAGAGATGCCATCTATAAAATGCCGTAAAATGCAATTATATTCTGTAGGCTGGAAAGCACCACCTGTGGTGGTAGGGTGGATGAAAAAAGACACACCCAAGTGGAGAACACTTTTACAGAATAAATACATTTTGAAATAAAGTGAAATAAAAGGTTGCAATTTAAGAAAAAAAAAAAAAACAGGTTATACTTACCTGCTCTGTGCAATGGTTTTGCACAGAGCAGCCCTGATCCTCTTATTTTTGGGTCCCCCCCCCAGTGATCCTGGTTCCTCTCCCCTGCCAAGTTCCCCCAAAAGCAAGACTCTTGCTATGGGGGCACTTGAGCAGGCTCACTGGCTGTGATTGACAGCAGCAGGATCCAATGGCTCTCGCTGCTGTGTGAGCCAATGAAAAGAGAGATCCAGGAGTGCCGTGGCTCATATGCACATCACTGGATCGAAAAAAGGGCTCAGGAAAGTATTAGAGGGGATGGGGTATAGAATGCATCAAGTTAAAAAACCTTCTGCCTTTAGAACCACTTTAACTACAGTTGTGCTCAAAAGTTTGCATACCCTGGCAGAGATTGTGAAAATTTGGCATTGATATTGAAAATATGATTGATCATGCCAAACAACTGTCTTTTATTTAAGGATAGTGATCATATAAAGACATTTATTATCACATAGTTGCATTAAAACACAATCACAGACAACTTTGTTAAATGTTACCTAGTCGATAATGCATTGAGTTTACCTGACAAATTTTATTTTTAAGCACTTGCTGACCATGCCATAGTCAAATAACTGCTCAAAGTGGTTGTCCAGTTTTGGGAGAGCGTCTTATAATGTCCTCCCAGAACCAGCCCCCTGTGCACCCGCTGTTGCACGCACTAGGCGCTCTCTGTGATCGCTGTGTCCTTCGGACACAGCTGATCACATGTCACAGTAAAGAGCCAATCACAGTGGCCGTTTACATTGTGATCAGCTGTGATTGGACACAGATGATCATGTGGTAAACACAGATGCTGGTTATCGGCAGTACTTTCCTCACGCTGTGACAGTGTGAGGAAAGTATTACAGATACCTGGCAAGTGTGAAAGGAGATATCTGCACTGATTATCAGTGCAGCCCCAACAGTGCCATTCAATGCCACCGATCAGTGCTGCCTACTAGTGCCCATCAGTGCCGCCTATCAGTGTTGTCTCATCAGTGCCGACTATCAGTGCAGGCTCATCAACGCACATCAGTGAAGTAGAAAAATTACCTGTTTGCAAAACTGTATAATAGAAACTTAGAAAAACTTTTTTTTCCCCTTCAAAATTTTCGGTCTTTCTTCGTTTGTTCAACATAAAATAAAACACCCAGTGGTAATTAAATACCACCAAAAGAGAGCTCTATTTGTGTGAAAAAAATTATAAAAATTTCACATGGGTATCGTGCAACTGTCATTCAAAGTGCAAAAGCGCTGAAAGCTGAAAATTGGCCTGTGCAGGAAGGAGGTAAAAGTGCCCGGTAGGCAAGTGGTTAAAATAAAACTAAAAGACAAAACTTTTTTTTTTTCCCATTTTAGATAGAGCAGTGGTCTCCAAACTGCAGCCTTTTGCTTGCCTTTATCTGGTCCTTGAGGCATTATTCCTCCCAATGACACCAACAACAGAGCACTATTCCTTCCACTGATACCTAAAATGGGGCACTATTCCTCCCACTGGCACCAACTATTTCTCCCTCTAATACCAAAGGGCATTGTTTACTCGCACTGGGCACAGCCATCCCCCTTGAAGTCTGAAGGACAGAAAACTGACCCTTTCTTTTGAAAGTTTTGAGACCCCTGGGACAGAGTAATGGAGGGTTATAACCCCTGTCTTTTTTCGTCATCTGTTTCCTGTCGGGGAGATTTCCCTTCACTTCCGGTCTCATAGCCAAAATAGGAAGTGAGGAAATTCCTCCAAAGTAAAATAAAGGAATCCCAATGTGTCACCAGAACTAGTGTCCCCATTGGAAGATTTACCCTCTATTAGTGTTCTGACATCAACCCAAAATTTGGGATTTCCCTTTTCAATAAATGATAAGCAGGACAAATATAGAGGGTAAATCTCCCCAGCGTGGCCTCAGACAGCAATAAAAACTGACAGGTGTTCTAATCCCTCTCCACTCTGTTCATACCTACAAAAAAAAAAAGGTTTTGCTTTTGGTTATACTATAAAAAAAAGTGGCCTTTGCATTAATTTTGCATTTGGATCCACACATCAGATGAACTGATTTTATTTTACACCTGAGGATACTGCTAAAGCCATCTTGATAATTCAGAAGTATATGTACAGGTAAAAGTAACATCCTACAGGCTAACACTGCACGACTAAAGCTGGCAATACACTGCTTGAATTTTGCCAATTACTGCTGGACTGCCCAATAACATGAGCTGTGGGCGGCACTGCTTGCACCCTCCCACTCAACAAAAGTCAATTTTTCAAATCAACTTCTTTTGAAGGAGCCAGCCCAGGAATTCCTGGCCAAAACGTGAATACATATTCTAGCACTGTTCAGGTATTCAGCAGCCACTGGAGCAGCACCTGCTGAATACAATACCCAGCAGCTGACATTCTTCTATGCACGCAGCTCGACATGGATGGGGGAAATAAATGGATTCATCTCATTCAATCTCAAGGGCTGCAGAAGAGAAATACAAAGTGTGTATAGTCAGCTTAACCCCTTCCCGCCGAACATAAGGATTAAAAAAAAAAAAATGGTGACAGTGTGTTTTAGGTAAAAAAAAAAAAAACAAAAAACAAAAAAAAAAAACAAAAAAAAAAAAAAAAACATGCGCACTATTGTTTCTGGGCTGTACTGTGGGTACAAACAACAAATAACATACACATATATGGTATCGCTTCGATCAACAAGAGCTGGAAAATGTATTTTGGGTTGTTCTTTGGTGGTAGGTTATGATAGTAAAAAGAAACAAAGCTAAATTTAAAAAAAAAAAAAAATTTTTTTACTATTTTGGGCCAGTTTTCCTTTCACAATTAAAAAAAAAAAAAAAAAAAAAATATCAGGAGATATCCATTACCATTTACCAACAAATGAAAGCCCAATTTATCCTGAACAAAATAAGGTATAATCCACCTGGATATACAAAGTAGCTGTAATGATATGGACGGTTTTACTAACACATGTCAACATTGCATGACTGTGCTTCGGCGTTAGGATTTGTTTTACCCTTTGGCGTGAAGGGGTTAAGCTGTAAAAGACAAGAACAGGAATTACACTGAAACTGGACTCCAGTTTACTGTTCAACACACGTTAATGATCATGTTTTGTGTGTACCTGTTAATACAGTATAATAATAATAATTTTACCATTCCATTACCAACAACTGTGTGCAAAAAATGGAAAATAAATGATACAGTTATGGCCTGCTATTGTGCACTGGCACACCAGTTATTTAATGCTTGTAAATTGACACTTAATGTGGAAAAGGTTGCTGATCTGCTCTATTTATTATAAATACTTATATAGTGCTGATAATCTATGCAGTGCTTTACATACATATTGTACATTCACTTATGTCCCTGACATTAAGGATCTTACAATCCAAGGTTCCCAACTCACATTTATACACACATACTAGGGTCAATTTAGACAGGAGGCAATTAATCTACTAACATGTCTTTGGAGCGTGGGAGGAAATTGGAGTGCCTGAAGGAAACCCATGCAAAGCCCAGGCACATGATACCATGGCTGGGATTTGAACCTATGACTCTAGTGCTGCCAGCAGAAGTGCTAGCCATATATCCAATGAGCTTTAAACATAACAATGGGTTCCACTCCAAGGAAGTGCAGGCAGATCAGGTGAATTGTGATACAATTATACACAGTAAAACAAAAACTACATGCTTATGTTGTCAGCACTTTACTAAATCTCTTTAGCTGGGTTTTTTTTGCCCTGTGACCTACTGCCTGACCCCCCAAACTGGTATCTCTGCCAAACTACAGCTTCCTCCATTGTGAAACCAGAATACAGAAAACTTAACCCAAGCATCAGACAGAACCAATGTTGAAGAGAAATCTAGGATTGATTATATTAAAAACAGTACAGCATTTATACATAAAAATCTTCCCCCTAGACAGGTATGGCCCACATTACAAGTCCCAGGAGAAAACTACATTACATAAACATATAAACAATCAAAACATAAGAAAAAAAAAACAATGTATTCCTTCCCAACACCTAGCAGTCTGGACTTTGGAGATAGTTAAAGTGAGAGCTTATCATCTAAACCTAATGACAGCAAACAATAGTTGGTGCCAGGAAACCCTGTAACAGAAAATAAAGTTTCTTAACCTCACATATGCTGAAATTCACCCCTGAACATAGTTCCACTATGCACAGTATGCCAAGGGGTCCCAGAAACAGACCTACCAGTCCTAACTGCATGGAAAGGGTAGCTGGTATAATTACAGCCAGCCAGATACCTAGGGAAGGGATATAACCCTCTTGGGGAAAAGTTTTCTTGTAACCACCAGAGGGAGCTCTGTTTAGGCCTGGGTCCATAGCCAGAAATACTGTATATACTAATAGCTAATTGTTCTGTGTTTTGGTGTTTCAGAGAGTATGTCAAAGAATCAATTTAACATGCCAACCAGCCAGAGATGAGCTTGGGCGTCCTCCAAAGTCTTCCCTAACCCAATC